GTTTTTGGACCCTGACGTCACGATCTGCGTGAGGGGGGCCACCGGTTTTCAGAATGTCCCTAGCGAAACGGCCAGAAAAATCGCGAACGCCGCCTTCAATTAATCGGCTCTGAGCTCTACTCCCTCGGAGAGGTGCGTATGAGAATATATATATATATATATATATATATATATATATATATACATAGGCACACACATGTCCATAGATCTACATATATATATATATATATACAAACGAATATATACACACGTGTATAAAAATGTACATGCGTAGGTCTCCACCCGACCACAATTCCCCCGTTCCGCTTGGAAGATGGTAAAAGGAAAGGGGCAGGTCAGGGGCGCTCGCCGGCCGTGGCGGCGGTGGTTTTGGAGTAGATGTGTCGGCGCATTGGGGACGAAGGGTGTTGAGTACTGGGTGGTGCGTTGGAGACGAAGGGTGTAGAACGTTCCGTTCCAGCTCAGCTTGGGGAGAGCGCCTCTTGAGTATCGGGTGGTGTGTTGAAGACTGAGGCTGTTGTGTGCTGGGTGTGTGTGGTGTAGACGGAGGGGGTTGAGTAGAAGGTCATGTTCAGGTTCAGCTTGGGGAAGGAGCCCGTTGAGCAGTGGGTGTTGCGTTGGAGACGGAGGCTGTTGAGTACTGGACTACGTGTTGTAGGCGGAGGGGGTTGAGTAGAAGGCTATTCGAAAGTTCAGCTTGGGGAGGGAGCCTGCTGAGTATTGGGTGTTAGAGTTCAGCTTGGGAAATGGAACCTGCTGAACATTCAATATTCGACTAAAAACAGAGGCAGGTAAATACGGATTATGTGGTGTAGACGGAGGGGGGTGAGTACAAGGATATTTCGAAGTTCAGCTTGGAGAGGGAGCCTGTGGAGTTGTGGGCGCTGAGAAGAAGGCTGGTTAGTACTTGGTTTTGTGCCGTAGACGGACAGTGTAGAGTAGAATGTTATGTTCAAGTTCAGCTTGGGGAGAGAGCCTCTTGAGTATCGGACGGTGTGTTGAAGACTGAGGCTGTTGAGTACCAGGTGTGTGGTGTAGATGGAGGGGGTAAAGTGGAAGGTTCTGTTCAAGCCCAGCTTGGGGAAGGAGCCTGTTGAGCAGTGGGTGTTGCGTTGGAGACGGAGGCTGTTGAGTACTGGACTACGTGCTGTAGGCGGAGGGGGTTGAGTAGAAGGCTATTTGAAAGTTCAGCTTGTGGAGAGAGCCTGCTGAGTATTGAGTGTTGTGTCGGAGATTGAGGCTGTTGGTGTTGTGTTTTAGACGGAGGGGGTCGGGTATCTTGGGTGTTGTGTTGGAGGCGGAGGTTGTTGAGAACTGGGTGTTGCGTTGTAGATACAGTTTTGGGAGGGAGCCTATTGAGTATTTAGTGTTGCGTTGGGGACTAAGGCTGTTGAACACAGAGTGTTGTGTTGTAGACGGAAAGGGTAGAGTAGAACGTTCGGCATTTTCAAGTTTATCCTGGGGAGGGACCCTGCTGAGTATTGGGTGGTGTGTCGGAGACGGAGGCGGTTGAGTACTGGGTTACGTGTTGTAAACAGAGGGGGTGAGTAGAAGGCTATTTTCAAGGTCAGCTTGGGGAGAGAACCTGCTGAGTATTAAGTGTTGTGTCGTGGACGGGGGTTGATGAGTACTGAGTGTTGTATTGTAGACGGAGAGGGGTAGAGCATGAAACTATTATCAAGTCCATCTTGAGGAGGAAGCATGTGGAGTAGTGGGTAGTGCGTTGGAAACGAAGGCTGGTTAGTACTGGGTGTTGTGCTGTAGACGAAGGAAATAAGAGTAGAAAGTTGGTTTCAATTTAATTTTGGGGAGGAAGCCTGTTGAATATGTGATGATATGTTGGAAACGGTGGCTGAAAACATCTTGCAGAAAAAGCAGCCTCAACATTAAATGCGAACATCGTGGGAATCACATACGAATGCAGAATGGCATGCGCAAGGGGGGTCAGTTTGCGTGTGGAAAGCGGTATTTATATATTACGCATATATATATATATGCATATACATATATATATATAAATATATATTTTTATATATATATATATACATGTGTACACTGCGCATGGGCCCTTAGTTGTCATGAAGCAGTGAACAAATATGTCGTAGTATCGCGGACGTGCTCTTGGTCCCGAAGAGGGGGGGGCTCAGGGGAGGACGGGGGACTGATGAAGACGGGGGTTTGCTTGCGTCAACTGTGCTACAGATCGCGACTGGGACTCGGGGACTGAAGGCCCGATCACCCACCCGGCTGCTGCTCCCGGAGCTTGCGCTCTCAGTTGAGCGCGCGAGCTACACTCCAAGACAGGCAATGCAGGAAGGCGGGAGGGAACAAAGGGCGAGAAGCGGGAAGGAGGAGGAAAAGGAGGAGTAGGCGGAGGAGGAGGAGGAGGAGGAGGAGGAGACGCAGGAGTAGGAGGAGGCGGCCGATACCGCTGCCCTCCCCTCGTCGCCACGCCTGGATTCGCCTCGAGATCCTGCTCGGAACGCTCGTTCGCTGGGAGGGGGGAGGCACTGCCCTCCCATCGTTCGCTGGGCGGGGGGTTCTCCACGGGAAGACCTGAGACGTGAAGCTCTCAGCCTGTTCCTCCAGATACATCGGCGTCCACAGCGACAGCAAAAATTACCCACTGCGTGGAGCTCCCCATATGTGCATCTCATGCTTTATGCCATGCCATAGTGAGCGTCTGTGCATGAGCGCTTGATTATAATTGCGCGCCCACGTGGGCGACAGGGCCGACGAAGACGAGTGAATCCGAATGCGAGTGAGTGAGTATGAGTCCGAATGAGCTTTGAGTCTGATTGAATATGAGCCTCCCATTCATCCCCCTCCTCAGCTGCCAGGCCGTGCCCTCCTCAGCCTCTGGTAATGTGCATGTGGTTTAGGATAGTTGGTAGTGGGATCTGTAAAACGAGCGTTTAGCCAAGGGAGCAGCACGCCTCATCTCCTTCCTCGCAGCATGAAAACGAGCAAACCGCCTGAGACATCCCCGCAAAATGGCCGCGAACGGGCCCGTGTCCTACCCCCTGGCGGCTCTCATTGCGGATGCTGAAACCAGCGCCCCGCCTGACACATCCTCGAAACCTGCTCAGACAGCTAAGGATGTTGGGCATGAAAACGAGCAAACCGCCTGACACATCCCCACAAACTGGCCGCGAACGGGCCCGAGTCCTACCCCCTGGCGGCTCCCCTTAGGGGTGCTGAAACCAGCGCCCCGCTTGAAACATCCTCACAATCTGCTCTGAAAGCCAAAGATGTTGGGCATGAAAACAAGCAAACCGCATGAGGCATCCCCAAGAACTGGCCGCGAACGGGCCCGTGCAAACACCCCTGGCGGCTCCCCTTAGGGGTGCTGAAACCAGCGCCCCACCTGAGACATCCTCACAATCTGAGTTGAAAGCCAGGGATGTTGGGCATGAAAGCGAGCAAACCGCCTGAGGCATCCCCACAAACTCGCCGCGAACGGGCCCGTGAAAACACCCATGGCGGCGCCCCTTAGGGGTGCTGAAACCAGCGCCCCGCCTGAGACATCCTTAAAATCTGCTTTGAAAGCCAAGGATGTTGGGCATGAAAACGAGCAAACCGCCTGAGGCATCCCCACAAACTCGCCGCGAACGGGCCCGTGAAAACACCCCTGGCGGCTCATCTTAGGGATCTGAAATCAGCGCCCCGCCTGAGACATCCTCAAAATCTGCTCTGAAAGCCAAAGAAGATGGGCATGAAAACGAGCAAACCGCCTGAGACACCCCCACAAACTGGCCGCGAATGGGCCCGTGAAAACACCCCTGGCGGCTCCCCTTACGGATGCTGAAACCAGCGCCCCGCCTGAGACATCCTCAACATCTGCTCTGAAAGCCAAGGATGTTGGGCATGAAAACGAGCGAGCCGCCTGAGACATCCCCACAAACTGGCCGCGAACGGGCCCGTGAAAACACCCCTGGCGGCGGGGTG